ATTCTGAACTGGACCTCATAAACTGGGGAATAAGGTCAATTTTCAAAAAATTTGCATATAATCGTAGTTAGCCAAGATATCCACAAAATCTCGAAAATGTTCCGAGGGATTACCCAACTTATATCAGGGAGGGGTATAACGACTATCAAAGTCAACTGCCCTATGAATGGGAATAACTTGAAATTTCGAAAAAAATGCATCTCTCCGTTTAACACCCTGTAGTATAATGCTATGTGCAAAATATCGTATTCTCAAAATTAGACATAAGAGTCAAAGAATCAGCTATTCAGAATTTTCAAAGATTTTCAAAATCGATTCAGTAATTTTCCAATAACGAGCTTTCAAATATTTTCCAAAAAACTAGGTGCGTCGTTTTTTATGACGAGCAGTTTAGTTTTAATTATTATTATAGTTCACTGTGTATCCAAATGAACTTCTCTTTGTTTTAAACGCGTTTAAATTCTGTCTTTTTTAATTCTTTTTTAGAGGAAAAAGTTTAATTCAAGAAAATGTTTTTCACTTTTTAAAATTTAGTAAGGACTACCTGTCAACATAAACTTATTTTAAAATGCTCGAGATAAACTTTTTCTTTAATTAGAAAGTAACGGTTCTTTATGCTTCATTTCCACTGTGCTTGTTTTATTATTTCTGGAGAAATATGAATTTAATTATTAAAAATGCACTGAATAATTTGTTTTAATTAAATGTTAAGGAAATATTTAACAAAATAGTCGATGTTATTCCCATGAGAAATTATATAAACGTGTATAAAAAGGACAGGTATTCGTAAAACTTTATTGGTTTTCTTTCTGCCTATACTCAATGCAATCTAAAAACGGTTAAGTTTACTCTCTGGGCAATTTCATTGTTTAGATACATGCAATTTCAAGATGTATAATATCTTAGCGGAGATAAAGGAAAAGAAATTTAAAGTGTCAAAATAATAGTTATTTATGTCATTAGGCCAAGAAGTGAGTCTTTCTGTGCCTTAAAGTTGTGTGGGCAAAGCACACTTTTGGGCTGAATGGCATACACCATTTTATCTTTAAGTTGTAATGTTTTTTAAAATTTAAAGCCAATTTTATTTGTTAAACGATACATGAAACGCGTTTGTGTTCGCTACGCAATTTATTTACTTTTTGTTGATATAAACGCTCAAAGCAAGTCAAATTTTGTATGTTTTAGTAAGATCCCCAAGCAGCCTGTGCCTGAACTTGGGAACGAAACTTTTTGTTTCCAAATTGTTTCGACAAAAATAGGAAAACTTATGTCTTAATCAAAATTGTGTCCATTCTTCAAATTTGTTGCTGCTTTGTGTCGAGACCTTTCTGATCAATTGTTTTCAAAAAAAGATAGCATTATTTTAGAAACACGTGCCTAATTTGAGCTGCCTTTGTGTCCTCTTGGAAATAGTAACATAATTCCACACTTAGTTGACTCAATGTTTATTGTTTGTGGTTATTGTACCTTCCTAATGTGTTTTTGTTTTGTTACCAAATGGAGTCAAGTGGACCCAACAGTTCCTATTTAGCTGCATTTTAAATTCATGGTGTATGATTTGTTTCAAAAATGTGTTTGGCAGGCGGGCAGGCAGTTTGTGTTTAAATTGTGTCATTTAGACGATTTGTTAGCTTGTATCGGCTCTACATTTAAATGTACAAGGAAACAATAAAATACCAACCATTAATGTGCAGAACAGTAATACACTTATTTTCAATTCAAAATTAAAATTAATGTACAGTTCCTCACACTCCTCATTGAAATCATTAAACTAACTATTGGTGTTGTCAAAGTAACCAGTAAGGTTTTATTAAAAATTGTATAAATTTTAATGGTAACTGACACTGACATTATCATTGTATATTAGTTGATTAGTGTTATTCTGGGCATCAATGGTTAGTGTTTTAGAGTACATTTGAGGCCTGTCAGAGCAAAGTCAAGACTAAAACTGAGTAAATTGAGATTATTGATTTTGGTATTTTAAATTCTAGATTAGTAATTTTTTTATATATTATATTGAAATATTGTTGTTGTTAGTCTAGTAGCCAACTACAAGGTCTTCAGGATGCATAGTATAGGTGAAATCTATAATTATAAATTGGAGATTGCTGACTTTGATATGAATTGCTGGAGATTGCTCATTTTGTTGTAAACGTTTAAGGGGATTTAGAATAATAAACAAAAAAATAATTGTATTTTTATTCCTTTAATGGTTATAAAATTTAACTATACAATCAATGCGGGAAAATTCTGAACTGGACCTCATAAATCTGGAGTTTCTTCTAAATCTGGGACCAGGTTGCCTCGTGCAAAAAGTACAACAACTCATCATCTTCTTCCCACTTTGCCCCGTAATGTTTTACTTGCAATGTTTTGACATTATCAGCCTTTTCTTGCTTTACCCTTACGTCTTATTATGGTATAATAACACACAATAAAACTTTTTTATAATTCTTAAAACAATAAAACGTATATGTATACCTACCTATTTTAAATATATTTTTAAGTGCAATTTACTGCAATAGAACTTAACAGTATGTACCAGTAAAAAAACACAAAATTAAATCTCTAAAATACGTTATAACATCAAATGTCAGGTGACACAAATTACTAATTTCTAATGGTGGAATTGTAGATTGTATACTTTGCTGCAAATCTATCAGTGGAGATTGTCGACTTTGCACTAAATGTCATTTTTAAAATTGGATTTTTGGCAGGATTTATCTCCTTTTGCAGCACATAAACTTTATCATCTTATAGATAATTAGTTAAAGTACAGTCTCCGCCAAAAATCTAATTTTTGACCAAAAGTGGAGATTGTCGGTTTTTCTATGACAGGCCTTATTTATAATAGTGGGTTGATATTAAATTAAAATAAAAAATGCCTATAATTTTAAAAATAAATTTAAAACCGGCTTGAACACGCAGTACATTTATCCTGTCAAAACGAAATTTTGGGCCAATTGGGCACATTTCGGATCACACAAGGCGCGTATTGGGCCCTGTTATAAATTGGGTTCATTTTGTGCATAATTTAATAACTATTGCGCAGTGATCAGCAATGTTGAGATTATTTACTTTTTTGGATAATATGCAGCTGTCAGAAAGATTTGTAGCTATATAATCAATTACTGAGCTAGAGATATGCGTCATTCTTGTGTATGCATTTGTGGTCGGTTTCAATTCAAAAGATTGGAAACATTCAGTTAATTTTTTTTCAATAAAGTTTCCTTACAAAAGTCTATGTTGAGATCACCGCAAATGATAATTTTCTTGAACTTACTGTGGCAGAAGGATAAATTATTATTTAAATGATTAAAAAATAATATTTCGTCACCACTGGGAGACCTGTAACAATTTATAATACAAAAATCATTTATTCCAGATTTAAAAGAAATGCCACAAATGCGCACACTTCAATGTGTTTTCAAGGATCATATATTTATTAAAATTTAATTCCTTAATTCGATAGATAAATTGCAATTTCACATGAGATGCCCAGTGTTCCGAGACACACAGTACATCATTTTTCTCTGTAAAATTAAAAAGATCAACAAGATCACTTTATTTCTTATGCATTGTACATTAACATGACTAATTTTTATTGACTTTATATTAATTTTATCTTTTTTTTTCTATTGGTTTTAAATTATTTAGGACCCTACCGTTATCGTTTGCTTTTTTTGAAAAAAAACGCGAAATATATGCACCACTAGGCCACAGATATGGGTTCATTGCTGCATTGCTTGATGGTTACATTCTCACATAATGCTTTCACAAAATTTTCTCTGATAAATGTTTGCAACTGAGTTGTTGTTGTTGTTTTGGGATCCAGTCTGCTAACATAAAGAAAAGCTTTTTTCGGGACTACATTTAGGCTTCCATTAGCAGCCTTTCCTATAACACAAGGTTTTTTATACTTTGGTTTTGCTTTGTTCACTAAGTTCCATTCATTTTTGGAAACTTTCGTAGTTTTTTTAGTAGTTTTTTCCGATAAAATTTGGCCACTTGTTGTTTTGTTATTTTACTTTGTTTATTTACTTCTTTACCAATTTTGTCGGATTCATTCACCTTCGACGCAGTTGTATTTTTTGCTTCATTCGTTACCGAGGTTTTTGCACCGGTAAACACTTTTTGTGTCTTGATTTATAATTTTATTCAATAAATCAATTTTATTCTTTAAAATATTCACTTTGTCTCTTAGTTCACTGATTATATCGTCTTTTTGTTTAATTATATACAAAAATGTATGCATCATAAAATGCTCTATCACTGTAGTCCGTTTGCAATTCACAACATAATATGCCCGTTTCGACCATTTTAACATTTTTACTTAGATTTGCACAACTTTGGTGAAAAACATTTGTACACATTACACATTTTACATCTTTTACAGAAGCGAGAGCCAGTTGTATGTAAATAATCTAAAATAATAATGTAAAATTAAATATTAATGCTTTTTAATGCGACATTGTATTATTTCGTTATGTAAATTTGTAAAACAAAAATGAAAAAAGTTGACGAACCCGTGGGATAAAAACCGATTTACAGTGTGTGACGTCGGTATCGAACTGCCTAAGACGAAATTAGCTTGACACTAACAGAAAATTAACCCTAATTGTTTGTATCAAAGTCATGTGCTGAGACTTTTGGGTGTGGAGCATAGTACGTTTTTACTCATACAAGTGCTGCCTCCAACGCTATTACTGGTAAAAAGAAAACAAAGTAATTACTATAGCTATAGCTACTGTTTTTTAGTTTTGTTAATTGATAAAATAGTTTGTTATTTGGAGGGTAATTTCTTTTTTTGCTTCGATTAATTTCTTTGCCTCGGCGCAAAGAACAATCGTACAAATTTTCGCAATCTTTTGAGCCTAGCACAAAAAAGCCCACTACTCCTCCTAATGACATAATCTACTATTATTTGCCTAGGCCATAATCAATTACTTTTGTGTTGAGTGTATTGAGATCGCTTAAAGATAAAATCTGTGTAGAAATACCTTAAAAGTAGACAAGCTGTCGACTCCGCATTCAAGAATGGCCTCTCTGCCAACAGGAATTGTTATATTGAGAATGGGGCCCAGAAATTTTGGAGAATCTGAAACAAAAGGAACTTTTAAAGTCGTGCTTTAATTAATTATATATTTCCCGGTGGAAAAGATTTGTTGAAATTTTGCATTTTTTGGTGCCTTCAACAGTCACGGGCCAATTACAGGAGTACACAGACAAACACAAATTTTAAATATGTACCTAATTAAATGGATTTAATTTTAGAGTTTTAATATCATCGATGTCACAAATATTAATCAAAATTTATGGTCTAAAACTTTAAAATTAAGTAATTTAAAAGTTTAGAATGTATGGGTATTAGGGTGCTTCAAAAATTAAAATTTAATTTTGTTTTTTGCTCTTACCCTCTCAAATATTTCTATTTAATATAAAAAAAATTTCACCAAATATGGGCGTTCCAGCTCAACTCTAAGAGGTCGCTGATTTTATTTTAGTTTCCCATTTAATTAACATGGGAAAAATAATTTTATGTTTGGAATTTTATACCTTTGTATCAAAGTTACGTATGGCAATGATCATTGCAGTTTCTTATATAAAATGTAACGCTCTACAAAAAAGGTCATTATTATTTTTCGATAAATTGATTTCTTCTAGAGTTATTCTAGGTCAAAGTTTGATTAACATCAAATTTTCTGTTTTTTTTAATTTTATGGTACAATTAACAGACGGGAGGTGAAAGGGGGCAAAACAAGGCAGCGGGGGGCAAAATGGGGTACCCAAAAAATTTCGTTTTTAGATTGTTTTTTTCCTTTTCTAAATTATTTGAAAATATATTGAATCACCATGCTTTTAATAGAAAATAATTATTCTGAGCCTGTAGAGCGAGAAAAAGGATGGTACAATTTTGGAAAATTTTTCATCTGCTCATTTTTTGCCCCCTTTTACTTTCCGTCTGCTAATTGTACCATAAACAGAAAATTTGATGTTAATCAAACTTTGACCTCGAATAACTTCGGAAGAAATCAATTTATCGAAAAATAATAGGAGACCTTTTTTGTGGAGCGTTACATTTTATATATAAACTGCAATGATCATTGCCATAAGTTACTTTGATACAGAGGTATAAAATTCCAAACATAAAATTATTTTTCCCATGTTAATTAAAAGGGAAACTAAAATAAAAACAGCGACCTCTTAGAGTTGAGCTGGAACGCCCATATTTGGTGAGGATTTTTTTATATTAAATTAAAACATTTGAGAGGGTAAGAGCGAAAAAAAAAATCATATAAATTAATATGCACTAAGCGATACCAATTCTTAAAAATTCTTTTGCTAGCTATAACATAGTGTAAAATAAATAACAAAAATATATAAAAAGGTAGTAACCTTATATAAAGTAAAGTAATAAATTAAATGATTTAATTTAAATATTTAAATTTATTATTTGATAAAGAATAACAGAAACCCAAAAAATTAAAAATTAATTAAAATATAATGATTTTAAAAATTAAAAATCGCATACGAATTAACAGCTAAGGAAAAAAATCACAAGGGTAGCTATACGCTATGTTATTAAGAGAATAATAAGGATCCTTATCGATAAGCGTCGAATAAGGAAAAATCAGAGCATAACGTCAATATAAAAGTAATAATAATAATAATAATAATATCTTTATTTACGGTTAAACCATTACAAAATATGGGTTCAATTTTAATTACAAAAATTACATATAATTACTACTAAACAAATTGTTGACATTACTTTTAAACTTGGTTAGAGAGTTACAGAAGAGATCCACAACATACTTATTCGCCACTGCACACACTCTATCAATAGGCATGGATTGCCCGTAGTTGGTATTATGGGTTTTTATATAGAATAAACTGTATTGTCTAGTATGCCGTATAGGTACAAGGAAGTTAATTCTGCTTAGCAATGCACTACAGTTTATAGAATTATTGAGGAGTTTATATAAAAACACTAGTTGGGCTTTTTCCCTCCTGACGGACAATGGATCTAGACCCAATAAGTGCCTTATCAGAAAATACACTATTTCCTCAGTAGGAATATTGAGTCTGAAAGCACAATGACGAAGAAACTTGTTTTGAACTCTCTCAATTAAATTACTATGGCATGCGTAATATGGGGTCCATATGACACAACAATATTCAAGGACACTTCGGACAAATGACATATACACATATTTTATACAGGTAACATTGAACTCTTTCATATTTCTGCTTATGAAACCTAAAGTTTTTAAGGCTCTATTTGCAGTCATGTTTATATGCTGATTAAAAGATACAAGATAGATAAAAGTGGATGTTGTCTCGCTAATTTTAAGAGTGGTTTACCTATCAATTTTTGGCAAATCTTAAATCATTTTAATTTTCATTATGGGAGTAATGGAGTTGCTTTGTCAACGATTTTCGCTTTAAAATTTTTCGTGTTATGTGGTTAGGCAGGCTTGTACCTGGAAAATATACTATGTGATCCGGCTACACTACTTTTAGTTTTTATTTCCATTTTTATAAAGCGTTTCAGATCTTCCTATAAATAATACTTTTTAAAATATTGGTAAGATCTTGTATTCCATATAATTTGTTTTGATAAATACAAATGTTACATAGTTTTTTCATAAATATTTCATTATTTTTTTGTACCTTAGGCACAATGGTACAATTGTACCAAAAATCAAAATAAAGCATTAATGCTTTATTTTGATTTTTATTTTAGCATTTTAGGTAGAGTAAAAAAGGTATTTTTTTTTTATTTGCTTTTTATTGTCTGTTATTAACGTAGTTAACATTGTTTTAAAGCTAACTTCGGATAAAGTGTTTGTATGTTTACCTCGTCATCTGATTTTGATGATTTTTTTAACTGTAGGTTGACTTTTCAGTAACGAAATTTTAATTAAGATTTTAATTTGAGCATATACAGAGTGCAAAAGTAAGAATAATATTTTCTCTAAACACCCTGCCCTATCATTTCTAACATTTTGTTTTTTATTTCGCATTATTATCTCTGTTATTAAGGAAGATGCACTGTTTAAAGCAATCGCACTTTATACAGTCTTCTGATGTTAAAAGGAATAAGCGAAAAGTCGACTTAAGCTGTAAGGTATGTCAGTTATTTTGGAATATAATAGTAAAAGTTGTCAAAGGTTGTACACAAATGCCTTTATCTTTGACGGATATTTCTTGTATTGGGGCATTAATTTAAAATAGTTGAAGTCAACGTTATACACTTTATCAAAGGCATTGGCTTTAAAACAAAAATAATAACGTGAATAAAAAAACAAAATGTTAAGAAAAGATAGGGCTATAGTATGATTCTTATTTACATTCGCTATTATTCACATGGTATCAAAAACTTATTTTTAGTTTTGCATCGTGTTTATAGTTAAGTGTAATAATAATAATAATATTGTTTATTGCCCCAACAGAGAAACTCCAATTACAGGACAAATATCAAATAGATAATTATCTAATTATACATAAACTAAAAATAATAATAAAAACAAAGTCATGAAAACCTAACATATATAAAACTACTCAAGTATGACCATTAGATGAAAAATTACAGCTTTCCTCAATACTATGCTTAACATAAACATTAGTTATAAATTTTAAAGAATCATTATTCATATCACAATAATTTGAGATATATTTGAGAAATTTGAGAAATATAACACATAGCTGAAACAGATGATATACCAACATTAGTTCTTGCAAATGAATAAAAATTCAAACTATATCTAGCAGTAGCTCTTGGAACTAAAAGATTAAATTGTGACAGCAAGTCAGGGCAACCAATCTTATTGTGAAATAAGTTGAACAAAAACTTAAGGGATAAAATATCTCGGCGTTGCTTTAACGAAGGTACATTAAACATTAGCAATAATGTTCTATTGTCAAAACCCCTTTTTGGATAAACTACATTTACATTATGACATAAAAACTTTAAAAATCTTCGTTGGGCCCTTTTCATCAGATTAATATGTATGTTATAGTTTAGAATATTCCATATAAGTGCTCCATATTCCAGTTTGGATCAAACCAAAGTAAAATATAATGTTTTAAGACAATCCATATTTTTAAATGATTTACAATTTCTGATTAAAAAACCCAACATTTTTAAAGACGATTATTTATGTTTAAAATATAGTCAGAAAATGTAAATTTATTATCAAATGTGATGCCCAAATCTTTGGTACAACGCGATAGACTATTGTTGTTTAGGGAATAATTGAACTCAATGGGACTAAATTTTATTTTTTTTTATGTACAAATTTTACATTTTGCAATGTTAAGATTAAGTTTATTTAAATGGCACCAATGTTCAATATGATTTAAAGTTTCTTGCAAACGTACACAATCCTGAATTGAGTTAATTTGAGAAAAACACTTTTAGATCATCGGCAAACAGTAAAGAAGGGACATTTTAATTAGGCGGTACACTGTTCAAAATTTTATGACCATTTTAACACCAAATTAACACCAAACATGCTCTATATCGATACAAACCAAAATGGTGTTAAATAAGGTGCGTTGGTCCGGTGTAAATTCAAATACTAAAATGGTGTTAATTTAACTTTCACACAGTATTAAAATAAATTTTACTTGGTATAAATTGAACTCGTTTCAGTGTTAAATATTATGTATTTGTGGACAAATTAAATAATAATACACAGAAAAAAGGAAAAAAAAGAAACAGGAACTTCCTTGACGCATTACTAGTATATTACCAGTGGTATTATTCCAGAAAATGGAACCTTTAACTCGCTAGAGATAATGTTTTTACTGCGTTGAACTAACTTAAAATACTTTAAGTATTGACAGCTGTTTCCACCTATTTAAGGTCTCTTTAGTATCGAACAACTTGTAGTGTCACATATATATATTCTTCATGTAAGTCAACAGACGCGAGATTTAAGAACATCACGTGATCGGTACACATTTTCAACCATAATTCATGGTGTTATATTAACACCACTTGGTGTTATATTAACACCACTTGGTGTTGGATTTTGACACCATTTTAAGATTACTTTTTACACCACAGATATTTTAAACAGTGTAGGTCGTT